AAAGAACTATAGTAGATTAAGTCTAGTAATATTTCTAATACTTGGGTTACAATTATGGCTTATGATTAATTTTATGAATTAACAACATGGTTATTATCTCTCGTTTGAATTGTTTAATACGTTGGTTACTCTATTACAGAGATTTCTAGGAAAACCTAATATTTTTCATCGAAGATAAATTATATATTATGTTATATAAAATATTTTGAAGTATATTTTGTAACAAGGTTAATGAAAATGCACTCAAAGCCTAAATTTCTAAAATAATAATTATTTATTATTAAGTTAACTACTAATTATAAAATCTATTAAATTGGAGTTATAAAATTATATATTTATTTAACGTAATTATAGAATAACAATAGGGACAGTATATTGCATACAAAGTGCATGAGTTTGTGTGGGTTTACAAATTAATTGTGAAAAAGTGTTAGGAAATTAGAAGAATAGGTGTTTGGCAAGAATTAATCCAAAGATTTAGTATAGTTATATATATTTTTTAAAAACTTAATTACAATGTAGTACTTTTTAAATTGTATTATAAAAGAAATGTTGTATTTATTATTTTTTTATAATATTAGATATAATTAATTTTAATAAAACTATAATAAAGAGTTCGGAACAAAATCCAAATATATTAATTCATTTGAGAAAAGTTTATTTTATTTTGACTTATAAATTAATGTACAGTTTTTGATACAATTATTATTAATATGTTTACAGAAAATTTATATAATAAATAAAATATAATTTTAAGAGTTAACAAACTAAATCATTAAATTATAGTCAATCAACTATTTTCTAACAATTCAACATTATTCAATAATTAATTAATAGTAATAATTACATAAATGAGAAACATTACACCAGAATATAATAATATATAGAGATTACAATTACAACTGCATGTCTATGTTCTCCAATTTGCCCGATCGGGGTAAACGGTCCTCAAAGTGATGCAGCTCTGGCACTACCTCTACACTCACGGAGCCAAAGGAACTGGTGGTAGGCTGGCTATCGAGTCCAGATTGACCATCTATATTTTCCAATTTGCCCGAGCTCATTAACCTAAAACCATAGGTTGAGTGGGTGTGTGCGGACACATCCTCTACCTCAACGGTGTCCACACATATTTCCTCGAAGTGGGTTTGATTAAAGCCGGGCTCCGTATAAGGCGGCGCCGGACCCAACCCAGTGCTCCCGGTGTAGCCCATGACAGGCCCGGAGGGACTGTTAGGGTTATTGATGGCGAACACATTTTCTTTGCCAAACTTTTCAAACAGTGTGCGCCGTTCACGACACCGACACACCAGACACCCGATGACCAGCAATAGTACGGCCACAATACCAGCCGACATCCAAATGATCCAGGTGAAATCATTGCAGTAATGATACGACTGGCTAGTGTTTACGTAGACGCATGTGTGGCCTTTTTGCCAGTCCTCGTACCGATAGTCCCCATATGGAGAGCACACACACTCACCGTCTCTACATATGCGTCGAGTGTCGCCAACTGTCCGGCAATCGGTATTTGTCTGGCACTCGAAGAACTGGCATTTGTCGAGCACCGGGTCGTACCGAAAGTTGACGGCACACTCACACTGAAACAATACGCACCGGCGGTGGTAATCGCCCTGTGTTTTGTTGATACAGTCCGAGTATTTATAACATTCCTTGTATGGTAGGCCAGGGGTGGTGGTAGACACTGTGGGTTCGGTGCTTGGAACTGGATCGTTTTTGTCTGTGTTTGAGGTAGGTGTTTGCGGTTCACCCAGGGCAATATTTACGCTTGCCATAATGCAAAAACATATTACATCAATTAATTGTTTTGTTTTAACCATGTTGGCTCGCTTAGTGTGTTCACTTTTATTAACTATTAACTAAATGTAAAATTAGTTATTCTATAATGTTATAAAACAGTTATAAAATATCACAAGTTTTAATAAGGTAATTTAGTTGTTTATAGAGTTGTAGTACTAATATAAATGAAACATATGTATAGTGAATCTTATCACAAAAAAAGGTACACAATTATATTGTTAGAGAGCAATAAACAATTAAATTCAATGTACATTATGAAATGCATCCGGGGGTTGGTTTAATTTAAAAAAATCTACATTAATTTTTCAATTAATCAATAATACCAAATTATGGAAATTATGTTAGTAAATTTAAGTGAAATAATATTTAGTTAATAAAAAGTATTTAACAACATTTTAATAACATAAATATTAGAACAGCTTTAATTTTATTTACTTCAAAAAAGTTTTCACACTTGGTGGTATTTGACATTTGGTCTTGCGATTAGTTTCATTTATTAACAACATGGTTATTATCTCAATGGCATTGTACAGTATTTTACACAGGTTACTCTACTAAATATATTTATTACAATATAAAAAATTATTATTTTACACTTAATGATAATTTATGTTACATTACCTGAATTTATTTAAAATACTTTAAGTTAAAAATGTTATTTTACAGTCAAAGCTTGAATCTGAACATAATGTTTATCCAGTTTTGTAATACGTTTAAACTAGCATATAATTTACAGAGATGATTTAGGTTATATTCTAGTCTACATTAAGAAAAATAATAATACTATAATTAATTATAAAAATTAGTAATATTAAGTTAAATATAGCAACAGGCATACATCATAATGTACACAATGCATGGGTTTTGCTATTTGTAAAAATTATCATTTTAATGGGGGAGTGGAAGGGAATGGGAGGTAAAAGTATTTGGCATTATTTGATTTAAAAATTAATTTAGTTTTAGTTCTACTCCTATAAACAAAAATTATATTTATTATACACTAAACTCAACATTAATAAAGTTGATTGCTTTACAATAGGTGTTTAGATAAGTTTTAACGATTATTATTAAAGTATTATTATATTAAAGTTATTATAAAATAAAATATTTATTTAGTTATTAAAATATCATTGAAAATTATTGTGATAGTTATAACTCATAACTATAAGAAATACTGTATTATAAAATAACATGTTAAACAAAATAATAAAATGCAACATATTAATTTAAAAATTGCAAACCAATGCTTATTAATTATTAAAATAAAACATTAATAGAATCATAACAAAGTAATCGACAATTACAAAATAAAATTATTACATAGTTAAACTACCCGCTCGATGCATATAATGGCCTGGCTGTATCAAATCGGGCACATGTAACTGTCTAGGGGCAAATCTGCCAGGCAGACCTTGCATATCAATATTTTCTAATTTGCCCGAGGTCATTACCCTAAAATTGTATGTGGGATTATGTATCATAACATCGGGCTCATCCAGCGATATCTCCTCAAAACCCTCGGCTCGGGTATAGGGCGGGGCCGGACCAAAACCTGTGCTATCTGTGTAGGCCGGGTTAATGATGGGCACCGGGTTGTTAGTGACGGCGAACATTTTTGTCTTGCCAAACTTGTTAAACAAATTGACCCGTTTGTGACATATCATGCACGTGACTACCAATAGTAGCATGATTATTATGAACCCACCGGTGCTCATCACCCATGTATAGTCATAATGATAGTTGTCTTTATCCACATATACGCATAAGTGTCCGTTGGCTGAGTCCTCGTAGTGTCGATGCCCAAGGGTTGGGTCGCAAACACACTCTCCCCTACTGTTACACATGCGGCCCGAGTCGTACCCCGGGGTCAGGCAGTCGGCAGTGGTATTGCATGTGTAATACTCGCAGTGTTTCGTGTGGTTATTGTAGCGAAAATTGACGGCACAATAGCACTGGGAGTCGACGCACCGGCGCTGATAATCGCCGCCGACTATACAGTCGCCGTATTTATCACATACAGGGAACGGGTTGGCAGTGATGGTCGGCCCCGGGGGTGATGGCGTGGTTGTTGTGGTAATTGTAGAAATGGTAATCATGATCAATATGGTGTAGCTAGCTAGCATAGATGTCCACTTGGCCATCTGGCTCGATAGGGCAATTTTATTCATTATTATTTAAGGTAAATTTAACTATTTTAAAGATTATTTTAGTCTACATGGTTAATTATTATTTTATTTAGTTTAATTAAATTAAATAGCAATATTCATAATTAAAAAAACACACAAAATGTGTTCATTGTATTTAATGTACATTTAATTTACGGTGAAATTAAATATTTGTGGTAAACATTTGTAGTTCATTGTAATTAATGTGTTTATCAATGTCATAGACATGTGGATATTATTTATAGGACCGGAGTTGGCTAAATTAGACATAGTATTCATTTAAAAGAATTTTAATAACAATTAAGTTTTTATAAGAAAAATGATAATGTATTTTTGTCTGTAAATGATTAAGTACAAATAATTAGGTTAAATACTAATTAAAAAGTAAATACCATGTCATTACAGTAAAACTACCTGGTTATGCTTAATGCCCACCAGAATAACATTTGTTTATAAATTATAATTAATACCCTAGTTACTATAGAATACTATCAAATACACTGTAACTTAATGTTATTTGTTGAACATAAGTTGTTCATTGCTTTCATTATCACATTATTCAATTAAATTTACTTTATGTAAGAGTTATAAAAAAATTCATAATGTATTTGTTATAACATTAATAATATTATTATTGCATTACAACTACTCTCTCTCTCTCTCTCTCTCTCTCTCTCTCGTACTATCGCTAACTCCACCTGATATACTAAAATAGAATTATAAATGTATAAACCGTATTTAAATAATTAATTATGTAGTTTAAGTGATTGGCAAAATATGTAAAATTCACTTATAAATGCATGCACTTACATGTATATGCGGAGTAAACGTAAATTAATAAAGGTAATTTCTAATAATTTTTGTATAATAATGATTACATAAATTAAAAATGCGAATTATGAATATTGGGTTTAAACCAAATACTTAACACCATAAATATTCATTAAATAACATTAAATTGATTAATAATTTATTACTGTTTGCTAGAAATAATACAATAAAATATCAGCTAGATCAGACACTAGTCTCAAGTTTGCCCAACTTATCAAGGGCAATATTATCAATAAGGCGGACACTGTCCAGCCATACGGCAGCCAACCGGCGCTCCCACCGGTCGCACACGTAATCCACTTTAAAGCCGAGTGCAGTCAAGCGCTCGTAGGCGTCGTCGACGGTCAACGAGTCTCTCAACACAACCGGCAGTTTACTAGCCTTTTCACGGCTCTCGTCGGACAGCCTATTATTACGCGAACTCAGGGCCAGACCTGTATCCGACCTAATGGTTGGACAGCCAACTATAGTCACTGGCAGGAAAAGTGCCCGGGCCATTTTCTGTATTAGTAATAGCTGTTGGTAGTCCTTTTCGCCGTAGTACGAATGGGTGGGCCGTATGACGTTCAGGTGTTTTAGCACGATGGTCAACATGCCGGTAAAGTGCCCTGGTCGGTGCTCGCCCTCCAATTGGTTGCCAATATCGCCCGTCTCCGACACTTGTATCTGGTAGTCGTCCGGATACATCTCCTGGTGCTCCGGTATGAACAGGTAGTCCACCCCCTGTTGGTGTAGCAGCTGTTTGTCCAGCTCTAGTGTACGCGGATAATAGCGATAGTCGTCTGTATTGTTGAATTGGGTTTGGTTGACAAAAATGGCCACAACTGTCACCTCGTTGTCCTTCAGGGAGCGTTGGCATAGGCTTAGGTGTCCGGAGTGCAAATTGCCCATGGTGTGCACAAACCCAATTGTTTTGAGGCCCAGGGTTTTGCGTATGTCCTGCCATTGTTGGCAGTCTGTTACGATGATCATGGTTAGTTGTATTTAGTTTGAATTGCAATCCGTTTTATCTTAATTAAATATAATAATACTTAATTTTATTGTGTTTGTAGTTTAATAAGATTTAGTTTAGTTTATAGTTTAATAATATAGTATTTAAATGTTTGATTAATAATAACAACAATAGTTTTTATTGAAACAAGATTAAGTTTAATATTTAATATAATTGTTAAGAAAATTACTTTTATTTAGATGAGTGTGATGAAAAATAAATAATAACTGTGTTTCTACTTTAAAAATTTTAGTAAATAATTACATAATACTGAACTGAAAATTAATCACAATATAACATTATTACAATAAAAAATACATTGTGTGAAACAGACCAAAGAAATACCGGTGCCATAACTAGTGTCCATAGAAACCCATTGATTATCATATCAGTGCAGATGGTGGGGTAAATATGTGTGGCCACAGCTCAGGGATGTATAATCTTATCGCAAAACATACAATTACTTTCAAAAGT